TACTTGATGGCAGCATGATCTGTATGAACAATTACTTTGGTTCCCATCAAGTATGGTCTGAATTTTTCAAAAGCAAAGACCACAACTAATAATTCCTTTTCAGTAGTGGTGTAATTGATTTGAGCATCATTAAGAGTTTTGCTTGCATAATAAATAGGATGAAAAATCTTTTCTTTCTTTTGACCCAACACAGCTCCAACTGCCCAGTCACTAGCATCAGTCTTTATTTCAAAGGGTTTGGACCAATCAGGTGTTATTACCACATGAGCAGTGACCAATGCTTCTTTTAAAATGTTGAAAGCTTTTCTACAATCTTCATTAAAATTGAAAACATGGTCATGYTGTAATAATAAACAAAGAGGTTTTGATATTTTTGAAAAATCTTTAATGAACCTCCTATAAAAACCTACATGTCCTAAAAAACTTCTGATCCCTTTTGCAGTTGTTGGTTCAGGCAACTTCTCAATTACCTCTAACTTTGCTTTATCAACTTCAATTCCCCTTTTGGAAATTAAATGCCCTAACACTATGCCTTCTTTTACCATAAAGTGACACTTTTCCCAGTTCAAAACCAAATCTGTTTCTTCACATCTTTTAAGACTTTTTTCAAGGTTTTGCAAACACAGGTCATATGATGTCCCATAAACTAAAAAATCATCCATGAAAATTTCCATTGAGTGTCCTAACATATCTGAGAAAATAGACATCATACACCTTTGGAAAGTGGCAGGGGAATTACAAAGTCCAAAAGACATTCTTCTAAAAGCAAAAGTTCCATATGGACATGTGAAAGTAGTCTTTTCCTGATCATCCGGTGCTATGGCAATCTGATTGTAACCGGAGTAGCCATCTAAGAAATAATAAAACTCTTTTCCTATTAGTCTGTCTAACATTTGGTCTATGAAGGGTAATGGAAAATGGTCTTTTTGAGTGGCTTTATTAAGCCTTCTATAATCCATACATATCCTCCAACCAATTACTGTTCTAGTAGGTATAAGTTCATTCTTCTCATTTGGTACAACCGTGACTCCACCCTTTTTGGGTACACATTGCACAGGACTGACACATGTACTACTAGCAATAGGATAAATTATGCCAGCGTCAAGCCATTTTAAAATTTCTTTTTTGACAACCTCTTTCATAACAGGATTGAGTCTTCTTTGAGGCTCAACGGAGGTGAAACTTTTGTCATCCAAGATAATTTTATGTTGACAAATGGTGGGACTTATCCCCTTGAGGTCAGCAATTGTCCATCTTATGGCTTTGGTATGAAGTTTCTACATGTCAACCAACTTTTCTTCTTGGTCAACTTCTAATGATGATGAAATAATGACTGGAAACTTCCCTGAATCTCCTAAAAAGGCATACTTCAAATGTGAGGGAAGTTGTTTTAACTCTAAATTTGGGGCAACATCTAAGGAAGGAACAAGAATCTTCCTATCCTCAGATTCTAAAACTTTAAAAGCAGCAGATTCTTGTGGTGTTTCTAATTCCTCAAAATCTTCCTCTTCATCACTATCAGTCTCAGATAAACCTAAGATTTCCCCCAAACTTTTCTCTTGACACCAGGTTTCTATCAGACTCAAAGCAGAACACTCTTCTCTTTCCTTCGGGTACCTAAGGGAATTAAAAACATTAAAAGTCACTTGTTGGTCTTGGACTTTCATGGTTAATTCTCCCTTCTGTACATCTATCAAGGTTCTACCAGTAGCTAGGAAAGGTCTCCCTAAAATGATGGGAATGTCTTTGTCGGCTTCAAAGTCTAGGATGATAAAATCATCTGGGAAAATAAACTTATCAACCTGAACTAGGACATCCTCAATCTTTCCTCTGGGATAGGCTATGGACTTATCAGCTAACTGAAGAGTTATAGTTGTAGCTCTAGCTTCACCTATGCCTAGGGTATTGAAGACAGATAAAGGCATTAGGTTTATGCTGGAACCTAAGTCACATAGAGCTTTTCCTATTTCTTTTCCTCCAATTGAAAAAGGGATTGTAAAACTTCCAGAATCTTTCATCTTAGGAGGAATTTTACTGGACAACAAAGCACTGCAACCTTCAGTCAGAGCTACGGTCTCATATTCAGTCAACTTTTTCTTTTTGCTCAAAATGTCTTTTAAAAACTTTGTATAACTTGGCATCTGCTCAATTACTTCAACCAAGGGTATGTTTATGTGCAACTGTTTAAAAACATCAAGAAACTTTTTAAATTGTAATTCTTCCTTTTGATTCCTTAATCTTTGAGGATAAGGAATATAAGGAGCAACTGCAATAAGAGACGTAGTCTTTTGAAGAGTTGGTGCTGGAATCGGTTTCAAAACTGGTCTCACAATTGGTTCTGATTCAGTCCTAACAGGGATTAAAGGACTGGTCTGGTCTTTTATTGCGGGACTGTCACCAGATTGTGACACATTCACTACAACACTTTCTTTGGGAGTCTGTGTTGTCTTGGGTTCATCAGGAAATAACAGTGGAAAATCTGATATTTCAGGAATGTCTGTACTATCTATGGGCCTGACTATGGGTTGCGGCTCACTAGTACTCACAGGAATGGTAGTCACAAAATCTGGTACAGGGGTAACAGAATCTTGTTCTACACTTTTCTTTTCAATCTCTGCTTTGGTTGGTTCTTTTTGTTCTTTTTGGGTATTTTCTAAATAACTCTTTCCACTCCTTAACGTGACAACCTTAACATGTTCTTTTCCTTCCCTCTAAGGTATCTCTGTATCACTAGGTAGTGAACCTATTGGTCTTTTTCTTATTTCCAAAGCCATTTGTCCCATTTGAGTTTCGAGATTTTTAATTGAAGCTTGAGTTTGGGTTATAAAACCCTTCACCATTGCTTCTAAAGAAGTAGATGACTCAGCTTGCTGTTTGGGATTGCTTTGGAAAGAAGACTGATGATTCTGAAAATTAGCATGTTGATTATTATGATTGCCTTGATGCGCTTGCGAGTGAAAATTAGATTGGCCTTGTTGAAAATTGGACTGTCCTTGTGGTTGAAAATTGGATTGTCCTTGTGGTTGAAAATTGGACTGTCCTTGAGGCTTTTGCATTGGTGGATTAAGAGCTGGACTATGCCACGAAAAATTTGGATGATTTTGCAATCCCGGATTATAAGTCTGTGAAAATGGTCCAGTCTTGTTGACATAATTTACATGCTCCAGATTTCAAGGACACTGCTCAAAAGAGTGACCTTCACCACAGTACACGCATTGTACTGATTGAACATTGGAATTAAAGGTATTAGCATCAGATTGCACATGTGGGCTAGATGTTAAATTTGAAATTAGCTTAGTGATCTGAGCCGTTAATGCCGAGACAACATCTACCTCATTTATTCCAGCTGTTTTCTTCAGTGGCATTGCACGTGGGTCAGACCATTGTCCGTTATTATTAGAAATATTTTCAAGTATGTCAAAACGTTCATTATAGGTACAAGCTGTGAAAGCTCCGCCTGCAGTAGCATCGAGCATTTGTCTAGCAACGATATTTAAACCATTGTAAAATGTCTCTAGCTGTATACAGTACGGAATGCCATAGTGAGGGCATTTTCTCAGCTGCTCTTTCTACCTTTCCCATGCATCAGGAACTGCTTCATCATCCAGTTGTCTAAAAGTACAAATTTCATTTCTGGATTTGGCATTCCTCGTGGGTGGAAAATACTTTTTCAAAAACTTTTCTGCCATTTCATTCCATGTAGTCACAGAGTCTGGTTGCWAAGAATTGTACCATGCTCTTGCTCGATCCCTTAGTGAAAATGGAAAAAGTTTTAGTCTCAGAGCATCGTCTAAAACATCAGGGATGAGAAAAGAGTCTATGATTTCCATGAAAGAACGCAAATGAGAATGAGGGTCTTCAAAAGATAAATCAGCGTATTGGCCATTTGTTTGAAGCATTTGAAACATCAGTGGATTAAGTGAAAAATGGGTGGCACCAATGGTAGGCTTACGTATCCCTGTGTGCAGTTGAGTTAAATTAGGAATAGCATATGCCATAATGCCACCATTTTTAGCATTTGCAAGACGAAAGATTTTGAGCCTCATCCTCATGTGGAATATTTGGTTCATTTCTAATTATACCTTCTCCGTCAATAATCACATTTTCAGCCATTGTTTCAGAGTTTAAAGCTCGAAGAGCTCTTTGTACTCTTCTTCGTTATCTGAAAGTTTGTTCAATATCCAGATCAAGTGGAAAAAATTACCATGCAACAGTCTTGTCATGCAAGGTGCGTTCACAAAAAGATGTTAGAAAAACTAATTTTTATAAACTTTACTTTAAAAAGAAAAATTTCAGCGTGCTATCCCCGGCAACGGCGCCAAAAACTTGCCCGTCGGTTTATTCAACCTTAGATTTCAACACAAAAATAGAACTCGGCGCAAGTATACACCTCGAATTACTGTCGTCTCGTAACAAGTAATAATGGTATAAGTACCAGATATCGTTCCCACAGAGATAGCTTGTAAAGTTATTTCAAAAGTCCAGTCTATAAAAACTAGTTTCAGATGGCGAAACGAGGGATTTGATTTATCTAAAATTGGGAGGTTTGTTTACAGCTAAGAAAAATATCAATCTTAAAAAGAAACACATGGTGCAACAGTTGATTAAGACATTAAACAAATGATTCAGCAAAAAAGTGACATAGCATTCCTGTCACAATTATCTAAATCAATAAATGATTTTATATAACTATGACAGTATCAACTATCGGGTCAGACGGCCTCCCAAGAGCACACACCGGTCAATGTGCTATCGATACGATATCATTTATGTTAGACGTCGTGAATCCTAGCACAACACAGTGTTACCATCCTATGTCGTAGGAGTATAGCGTTTGTCAGACACTAAAGCTATTTATAGCCTTCTCCTATTACCTCAGGTTTTGAAAGTCAATACATTTTTATACACAAAATBWRTTRTCAATTAATTTTAATGTAATCATCAAATGAAATATTAAGCACCTGAAATAAATAGTAAACTATAATGCTAATATGACATCTTTGTACTTTTACATCGGCTTTGGTCTTAATTTCCCGTTACACCCCAAGCTAAGGCGTTAGCCCATCATCGCTCGGTTTCTTCTCTCGAAGGATGTAAGGACTGAAAAATAAATAACGGTATGGAAAAGTAAATTGCAGAAAGTAAATTACAAGAAATGGAAATACTGGAATTTAAAGTACTGGAAAYTAAATGACAGAAATATAAATGACTGAAAGTAAATTGCTGGAAATTAAATGACGGAAATGTAAATTGCAGTAAAGTAAAGACTGAAATGTAAACGACTGAAATATAAAGACTGAAATATAAAGTACTGAAATATAAAGACTGAAATGTAAATGACTGAAATATAAATTATTAATAACTAAATATTATTAATTAATATTATTCTAAGACATGATGGATGACAATTAGTACTTGATGGGATGAGAACATGACTAATGACAACCTTGAAAAGAGAGTTTGACTTTGAGGGAACTTGCAAGTCAAGTAACAAAACTTGCAAAACAAGTTTCGTTACAAAGACCGAAAAGGTTACTTGCAAAAACAGATTATTTAGTCTACGTAAATTAGTCGTGAGCCACAAAGGATGAGATCCAGTGTAAAGCAAAAGAAATCGACTAATTTGTAACTCGTAACAAAAGTAATAAAACATAACGTAACTTGGAATTAAAAACAGAAATGAGATGAAGGTTAAATACGAGTACTTAAATTAAACTTGAAAACGAAATCACAACTTCACTTCACAAAAATCGGTTCTTGATTTGAAACAAGAAAACCGAAAGCTTGGAACCGAAAGTAATAATTTAGAGAGTAACTAACACAAAGATCATTAATATCAAAATGAGAGAAAGCATGTAAATTGGTGAATTGGTGGTTTAAACTAAAGCCTTAAACCTTCTATTTATAGGCTAAGAAAGTTGCTAAGTGGGAGCCACCTAATAAGACAATAAGCTCTTCAAAAATGGGCTTTGACCGAGCCCAAGGTCGTTGACCTAGCAATCTCTAAGGAGTAGCCCACGAATTCTGCAGAAGTGCAGCTCCCGGATAGATGCTATAGGACTCTGCCACTCCTGGTCCTACAGGACTGCTACAGGATTGGGCCCAAAAATCATCAAAAACCTGCATAAACAGGGAATTAACATTATATATACTATATTACTACTAATATATGAAAAAGACTTAAAAAGACTCAATTAAGACACTAATAGGAAAATAAAACAAAGGAAAATGGTTAAGAAAATGATGTAATAAGGTTAATAAATTAACACTTATCACTTAGCAAAAGCTTGCTCGCATTCGATGTTGATGGTCTAGTTTACAATGACCTGATCCTTAAGATTTTCTTCGATCTTAGTTAACTCTTTGATCTTATAATGACATCATTCTAATTGTTCTTGAATATCAAGATTAAGCTTTTCAGCTTTGGATTTTCCATTCAGGGCATTGTAAAGGTCAACCGTCAGCGTATCTAGTGTAGATAGGTTATTAGAGGAAGAAGAAGAAGGTTCATTCAGATTACATATCTGAGTAGAGGTTGACGGAGAGGGATCACTGGAGGATGATGTCTTAGATGGTTCATTCTTGACATCCTAGGCCATGAGACAGAGATAGGTCGTCTCTTCCTCGTCCGAGGATGATTCATCAGATGAATCAACCCAGTCATGCTCTTTAGCAACAAAACCTTTGCCTTTACGCTGAAGATTCTTCATCTTCTTTGTACTTCTCCTTCAGCTTCAGGTATTTGTCATCTTTAGGTCTTAAGGAGGATGAGAGGTTGGAAGATGGCTTCACATCTTTCTTCGACCTGCATTCACTAGCAAAGTGACCTTTGCATTGACAAATTATAGTAGTTACATGAAGCCTTGTCAATGGGATTTGACTTGGGTTTGTTAGCTATGGTCAGGAAGGAGATATGTGGAAGTTGTTTTTTTCTGGGGAACCTCCTAAAAGAGTTAGTAAAGAGGGTCAATGACTCATCAAACTCTGAAAGATCAGCGTCTGTCAAGTCCTTAGAGTTAGAAGGATCTAACTCAGTAATAGAAAGAGAAGAGGAAGGAGAAAAAGTGGAAGGGTCAGCTGAAGGGTTATTAGAGATCAAAGCCAAAAGAGAACTTTTCATTTCTCTGGAGTCTTTTAGAAATTCTTCTTCAGCTAACGGGATTGCTTATGATTGAACAATATCCCATAAAGAGAATTGAGGAAAAGGGAGGACATGTCCTTAGACATCTTTAGACACATGGTATAATTATCCATGATTCTCGCAAACATTCAAGGAACTTTGTCAGCGTCTTTGAGTTGGAATATTCTCTTCCAACTGTCCTTAAATCAATAAGAAGACGATTAAAGCGTTGATGTACTTCAGACAAAGATTCAGATTTTCCACAAATAAAACTTTCATATTGTCTTACTAAATTTATCTTCCTTGATTCTTGTACTTCAGAAGTACCTTCATATTGAACACAAAGAGTCTCCCACATGGTTTTCGAGGTCTTAAGTTTCATCATAGAGTAATAAACCTCGTCAAGAAGAGCCATGGCTATTATAGATCTCGCACGAGTATCTAAAGCCATTTTCTTCTTGTCTTCATCACTCCACTGCTGAGAGAGCTTCGGAATCTGCCGTTCAGGAATCGTGATAGTTGTAACAGTTGTAGGAACTACTAGAGAGATTGCAAATGGAATATAAGATCCATTTTCAATGTAATATGGAATCTCAGGATCCACACCCTCTCAGAAAAGAGACATTCGATTCTTCCATAGACTGAAGTTGTCTCTTATGAACCGGGGAGGTTTGGCAAGAATGCCATTGTCGTGAAAGTTTGTGATCGTGTTTTGCAAAGCCATTTGAAAAGTAAATAAATTATTTAGAAAGAAGAGATAATAAAACACAAATAAAACAAACACTGCTCTGATACCACTTCTTGGTCCCTACCGGATCTACAAAAGTTTATAGGTAACAGTTTGTAGGGGGGGATGGATACAAACACAACAACTATCACTTTTAAAAAACTTATATTGATAAAGAAGATCAATACAAATTTTTGCAGATTGTTTGCTAGAAAAGATAAGATACAAAACTTATCTAAACAATCAAAGAAAGACACAAGTTAAATATAGCAATAAAGAAAAGACTTGCTACAAGAAATAGGTTAAGAAGTATTGTGCTCTTCACTTGTTAGAATGGTTGTCTTTCTCTTAGATAGAGAGTTAGAGGGAGGAGTATCTTCTTGGGTAAAAAGATCTTTAAGGCAAGGAAGCTTGGACTAAGATTAATAGGTCTAATTGAGAAGGAAGAACTTCTCAGCTATTTATACCCACTACATTAAATGCAATTCAGAAGGTACAAAGCACGTAGCAAACTTCAAGAGGTGAGCTTGTCCTTTGTTGCAGATATACAAGCTTTTGGCTGTATATGAACAATCTTCTTTCATAAAGTAGGTAAGAACGCTTGGAGACAATAGAGTGACTCTGTATAGTAGTTTACTTTGAAAGGTATGGGTTGTCCTTTGTGTGTAGAAGGATAAGACAAAAACTAATCTTGTTCAACAAGATTCATTTGATCGTTGACACTGAATAACGCTGAGGTTTTTTCAATGTTTGCTGAATCTTGCGTAGATTTCACACTTGTGTAGACGAGCCTGTTATCACTGAAAAAAAACGCTTCAGATCACGAACTTGCTTGTCTCTATCTTCAACTTCTATCTTCGATATCGCTGAAGGTTCTGTGGTGTGAGTTTTATCTTCCTGAAGAATGCTTGTGTCTGGAGGAATTACGATGCATGTTCAGCGATCAATGAACAGACTCAGTGATGATCGCTGAAGCTGAATACAGAGATAATACACTTCGTAACGTTTAAAAATTATTATCAAATCATTGAAAGAGAGGATAAACAAGATTTCAATTTGATTTTTTATTGTTGTTATTATTATTATACTTAAATTTTGAATTTCTATAACTAAATACAAATTTTAGAAAATATCTACATTAAATGATGAATATAAATAACCATTACGTATAATATAAACAAAAACAAAGTTGGACGATCCTACATATCTTAGTTAATTAATAATCTCTCAATTTCTTCTAGATATTTATAAAAGTTTTATTATTTATGAAACAAAACAATATGTAACTTTAACTTTTATGTAATTTACAAAAGCATTTTTAATAACTAGAAGCGTACTCGCACAATTCAGCGAGATACATCGTGATTTTAATTTTTCATTTTATTCTTTATCTCAGTCGATGTTATAATATGGCTTTATGTGATTTTGAGAAAGCGATGGTGTTTTTATTTTTGAATAAAATATATGTTTGAAGATATCATAAAAATTTGACAAAAATATATTGATAATAGTATCAAATTAACTATTTGAAATTCCTCATTTTCTTGTGTAATTTTTTAATTCAATTTTTTTATAATTTAATTTA